TGCAGGGAAGCATCGTTAGAGGAGGAACTTGTAGGGCCGGCCATTTTGGAATGCAGAGCGCACTTCGATGGAGACAAATGCGCCTCTGTTTGGCTCCCAAGATCGGATCAAGGATTCTGAGTTAATTAAAAACTAATATCTACAATTCAAAATTTCAAATACAGCTGGTAGAGAATATTGGGATGTGGTGTATTTCTATTTGCTGATGTGTCCCGGATGGTTTGGACAATAATTGTGGTGTATTTCTATTTGCTGATAGAGAATATTGCGTGTCGCCTTAATGATACAGTAGCTGCTAACACTTAACTAAGTTAAACAGTGTCGCTGACGTGACGCATGATCTATCAGCCGTAGTCTGAGCATCTAGTTAGCTGGTGTGCAATATAGAGAATTGGAGCATGTCATGTCAGTGACACACCGTCCAACTGTAGATCATATTAAACGGGGCTGATGTGTTCGCTATTTTGATACATATCCAAACCATCAGTCATGTGACCGGAATTATGATCTGAATTATTATTTCTTTGTATTTTTTCATTCAAGACAAATTATAATGGTATGATAAACGATTATAATCTGAAAAGATAGCGGGTTATCCCTGTGAGGTGTGATGTTTGTCCTTCACTGTTGAAGTGTTGGAATTCATAAAATAGAATCAGAAAGCTGATCTATGACATTAATAAATACAAGACAAATACATAAATCTATTAAGTGAAGCAACGAAGAAGTTGAGCAATGCAGTTCAGTACTACACGCTTTGCTCGAGAGGCTGAAATTAACAAATACAAGACAAATTAAAGCAAAAGAAAATGCTGTCATGTCACGTGAGGGATCAAGTCCAACCAAGTTGCAGATGGAAATGTTTTCAATTTATTTATTTAAATTTCCAACATAAAATAAGGGGCAGAATGATGCAAGAGAAATCTGAAGATGTTGGAATTTCGAAAAGTTTATTCAATTGGGAACAAGCTTGTTGCATCCTAAAAATCATTTTGTGGGGTTGGCTCTTTTGGAATGAGCACAGTTTTGTGAAGAGTGCACTTCGATGGAGACAAATGCGCCATTGTTTGGTTCCCAAGATCGGATCGAGGATTCTGAGCTATCTTGTGTGGGTAGAGATGGGCTTAAAGAATTGGCTGCGTTCAGATATTTGTTTATTGAGTGTTAAACTTTCGAAACACCGCTGATCTCATTAACGGCACGAGTCCGAGACGAAAGACGTCTTCAAGTCAGGAGCTATCAGAGAAATCTGAGACCGAGATGAAAGACGTTTTTCGATCGAACTCGACTAGAGAATGCCTAGAAAGACGGAATGACCTATCAGTCGACGCCCATACTTCGCTGCTCAGTCACCATCGCATTAAATTCATGGCCAGAGTCATAATAACTCCTCGGGCCAAAATCATAATGACTCCTCAGACGTCGCTCACACTTCCTCCATTTTGTCGTCGTCACACCAAATGCTAGGCTTACGTCCCTTTACACTCACCCAACCGGCCGCTGACACATGTAAAGTGAAGTCAGGTCGCTGATTCCATTGATCTGGTTGAATTACCAATGTGCCCCTACAAATTTCTATATAAAAAATGTATAACCCCACTACACTAAGATACGCTGGATCAAACCCTAAACTAGATTCTGTATTCAAATAGTTCGTTTTATCTATCACTGACTTGAATGTCAGAAGATACACTAGAGGAACTCTCCTCCTGCTGGCCTCTAACGTGTATTACCTATCTAGGGATCTTCTTCCCTCAGATTAATTAGTCATCAAGAAATTAAGAGATCCTGAACTCCTCCAAATATACTTCCACTCATACAAACAGCTTTATAACATAAACAAAGCCACAATTCTGAAAATAGAAAGTTCTCTCCTTTAGAGTTTGATATGTTATCGTATACTCCCATTTCTTGTGATCTCACTGAATGAGCATAGCATTAGTTCATACGTTACAAAAGCATTAAATACATATTTTTATTCTATTTATCCAACTTGTTAATCCCTGGAGAAACCTACTTTTTACTAATCTAAGTTGAATGCGTTTATTTAATTAGCTGAGTACCGAATTATATCCAATCCGTGTTCAATAATCTTAGATCAAGTTCGGATCATCATTGTTTTGATCAGGTCAAGATTGCCACCTCCTAAATGATTTTGTTTGAATTGGTAATTTGAATTTTTTTTTTTTTTTTTTTACGTGATGTAATTTGATTTACAAATATTTCAAGATTTATTTTAGGACCATGTGAACAAAGCCAGCCCAGCTTCTGTTTGCCATTTTAGACCTGCCTACGCAATATAATGGGCCTATCTAGTTTGAGCCTTAACTTTTAACAAGGAGGCCCCTCATCTCTTGATTCTGGGCCGATTCTATTATTCTAACAATGAAGAGTTAATCAGTCAGCTACTAAGCCTCTGAAAATAGATGAATATTTATTTAAAATTAATCAAAGAAATGCATGTTATGACAAAGAATCAGGCCAAACTCCAAACTTGCAAAACAATAAACCCCCCAAATTTTCTTTCTAATAGCGAAAGAAATAGACAAATGATTAAAAGGGGGCTTAGATCCTTGCGGTAGTTAATAATAAATGTAAATATGATTACCTTGAGTTTTACTATATGATTAGTAACAAATCTGCCAATGGATTTAAAGAACTGAAGGCCCATGATAGTGTTATCAAAGAATAGCACAGGCCCATAAGATTAGGGCCTAGAGTCCACAAACACAAGCCTCAAATAAATAATAATCCTTGCATTATTATAGACTCTTATCTGCTGCAATGAAAAGTGTAAACATGCTAAAGAATTATTAAACACCCTCCATCAACTGATAGTTATTAGCCTTGCCTCCACGATAGTCACCCACTTGTAGGAATTTATACCATCCATATATCATTTTCATTAAAATTTTTTCTTTTAGAATAACCATTTTCATTATTATTGAGCAAGTGATGTTTATATTACATCCAAACTTCAAAGTTGTGTCTCGAGAGTTTGAATTTTATTGACTAACAGTTCCTACATGTTGAACATATTTTTCATGAGAAGAAACCTAGACTAGTTTATGCGCGACATTTCGGTACATTGTTTCTAAAATCCTCTACTAATGGGTGTCTAATGAGATTTGAAACAAGTATCTAAAAATATTGAGAATTAAGGCCTATAATTTTATATTATATATCTTCCACCCTCATCATAATGACTCAAATTTTTGAAAAATCATCGACGACATTAAGTAGAAATTTGTTTTATGAATTATTTTAGTTCCAATTCACCGAAGTTCCTTTACGCGCGCTCTCATAAATGAAATCTTTCATTAAATTATTTATAATGGTTTCATGCTATACTCTCCATTAATCCGTGCGTCTCTTTTATAAATAAAACTTTTTTTAAAAAAAAATCACAGATACTTCGCTATCAAAAGAACCAATCTAAGCTAAGCAATCAAAAGACGTCACGTGATAATTGTCGCCCCCGCTGCTCAAAACTAAACCGACGGGTGAAGATAACGAAGGGTATAACCGTAAATTCACCTGAAACCCCGGCGAACCGGAGCGCCTCCTCGACCATCCGAATCTGAGCCGATCGGTGATCCGATATATTCGGCCGGCACGGCCACCCGCTCGTAGTAGCCATGGTGCATGTGGTCCCCCAACATCTCCCAGATCCGACGACCGTCGTAGAACTCCCTATCCCCTTCTTCAGCTCTCCGCCCGCCTCCGCCGCCGCACGTGGCGACCAAGCTCAGGCCTCGCACGCTGTAAGGCTGGCCCGATACGGAGCCTTGCTCCGATATATCGGCGCCCGGGCATCGGCATGGAGCGCGGAGGTTGGAATGCGGAGGGGCGGGAGTTCGCACGTAGTCGACGACGTGCGGCCGCGTCCATTGTGCGATGAGGGCGATAATTTAAAGGGATTGGTGAGAATTGGGCGGGCAACGGTGAGAAAAATACAATATTTAAAAGGATTTTTAAGGGAAAATTATGTCAATGTCCTAAAAGTAATAACTTCATGTAACCTGTCCCCTCCACTTTTTTCCATTGTGGTTCAGGCCGAAAAAAATATCACATCATGTGATTCAGCCTATTTCTTATGTGATTCGGCTACTTACTTTATGCCAACTAAGCACAAAGAAGGAGAAACAAACATAAAAGTTAAAAATACCCTCATTTCTTCCTCTCTCTCTCTCTCTTCCTTCTCTCCGGATCTAAATCTGATCTCATTTCTCTTCTCCTCCTCTCTCCTAACCCATTTCCTTCATCCTTTCTCTCTCTTCCTACTTTTTCTCTCAAACACTGACATCATCCTCCGCCACCACACGCTCCGGTCATATTATTCGTTCCTTTTCTCCTACTAATTTTCCCCGATCTCTCTTTCTTTCCCCCCCAAAACTAAAAAAACCCTAATTTTTTTCGATATTGAAGGCGAAGAGGTGGCGAAGAACAAGGCGGAGGAGGCGGTGCCAAAGGAGGACGAGGAGGAGCTCGAGACCGTCACAAGTTCCACAAAAACTCATTTGAAGTCTAATTTAATTCATTTTAAGTCCAATTTAAATCATGTTAAGTCTAATTTAACTTGTTTTAAGTTTAAAAACAAGTTAAATTAGACCTAATATGAACTATGTTAAGTCTAATTCAAATTAGTTTAAGTCTAATTTTATGTTAAGTCCAATTTTTTAATTCATGTTAAGTCTAATTCACTAAAACAAGTTGAACTAGACCTAACGCGATTCATGTTAAGTCTAATTTAACTTATTTTTAGACTTAAAACAAGTTGAATTAGACTTAAAATGAGTTTTTGTGGAACTTGCGACGGCCTCGAGCTCCTCCTCGTCCTCCTGGCGCCGCCTCCTTCGCCTTGTTCTTCGCCACCTCTTCGCCTTCAGTGTCGAGAAAAATTAGGGCTTTTTTAATTTTGGGGGGAAAGAAAGAAAGACCCGGGAAAATTAGTGGGAGAAAGAAGCGAACAATATGACCAAAGCGTGCGCGCAAGGTCGGCGGTGGCGGAGGGCGATGTCAGTGTCTAAGGGGCTGTTTGGTTTGTTTCCTTCATTTTCCAAAAACAATTTTCCTTCACTTTTTTATGTTTCCTTCACTTTTTTATGTTTCCTTCACTTTAATGGAAAGTATTTCTTGTGTTTGTTTCGCCAAAAAAATATGGACTGAAAGTACTTTCCACCATTTTTCTTAGTTTGGTTCAACTTGAAAAAAAATTTGACAATGTCATCTCTCTTAAGTGGACTGAAAGTACTTTCCACCATTTTTCTTGTGTTTGCTGCCGAAGCTTTCCAGCCATTTCCGTGCCGAAATGGGAAGCTCTCATCTCTCCTAAGTGGAGCAATTTTCCCACGTCCTTTTCCCCTTACTCCTCCAACCAAACCCATGAAACGAAACCAAAAAAAAAAAGCTGAAAACTAACTGGTACAGATGGTGAAAATCGTTTTCAGGGGGCGGTTTTGTGAAAAAGGAGGAAGAGAGAGAGGCTGGCAGCCCATTTCCTACCAGGCCACTGACTTGCGAGTCCCACCCTCCATCTATACGACTAACAGCCTATTCCCAATTTGACAATATGTCATTTTCCACATTTAATGGGCCCACCGAGACCCTTGTTAGCATTCGTTTTCTCTGGTTCGCATCCTTAGCCCCCTCTCTCTCTCTCTCTTTGCCTGTGCGAGCGACGAGTTGACACGTAAGTAGGATACTCGTGGGCCTTCTTTTTTGCCTATTTAAGACTTTGATAATAAATAAATAAAAAGATAAAGGACAAATCTTCGTTCTATGGACAATGACAAAACTTTCATATTTTGCTTTGAATTTCAATCGATAGCAAAAGAGCCGTGTACGATTTACCAGGTAGCACTAGCAGGGCTCTCTAACATCGGTCCAGTGGAGTCTCGTGGATTTTAACAGGCTATTCAAAGAACAAGGAAATATTTCTCAAAGAATTTTGACATATTACTCCCTCAAAAACGGAATAGTATCTCTAGCCGCAACACCATTTGATTTTGGCAACCATCAACTCTGTTCTGCTCCGTACAACTGCAGGTGCACAATAACGCATGCAACTTCAAAGCAACAGAAATAGCTCCCTGGATCCAGTTAAGAATACAGGGAAATGCTCCTACAGAACATCTATGTCTCTTTAATTACCCGAGGAAAACTTTCAATGCAGTTCTGATACACTGCAATATGAGAAAAGAATGCAAAAGTATGGGGAAATAAAGAGTACAAACTTTGGAGAACTCGTAGAGACATTCTACAACCTAGAGTCCAAATGCAACTCTCTGCACAAAGTCTGGCCTTCTCTTGCTTGGCATCCGAAGAAGGCCTGCGATCTGCAGCTCTGTTACTGCTCGACAAAACCTTGCTCTACAAGAAATCTAGTTAAGAATCCGCATTTGCTTTGATAAACGGCCATACCTATTATAGTGACGAAGAAGAAAAGCATATTTCTATTAAAAAAGAAACAGAGGGTCTTTATGCAGCATGGACATTTTAAGGTTGGGAGATAGATCAAGAGTTCTTGGGGCCAATCATCATTTTTCTGAGTTTCTAGAGATAAACTGGAGAACGTCAGCTAAAGTTTTTCAAGGGTAGAATGTCCGACTAAAAGGAAAATTTCATTCCAAAGAATTGTCAATAACGACCACCGAAGTTTACAGGTTCATCGTTGTGGATTTTTCCTCCGTTCAGTTCTATTAAGGGCCTTTTATCTTTAAAATTGGCAGCCATTATGTTACTTGATTAACTCACTAATACAGGCTCACTTTAAACAACCCTGGTTCTAGCTCCTCCCACAACGATATTTTAAATCATGATTCTCACCAGTCGCAGTTAGCACCTTGTGTTTCTAAGTTTTAGCAGACAACAAAATAGCTACACAGTGAGATGATGCCTACCAATCATCCATAGCTATCATATAAAATGATAAATAGTCGCTAAAACTATTTCACATGTGTATTTCCAAATGTTATCGTGAGTCCTAACAGTACTAGCTCTTCCAGCTGCGATATTTGTAATCAAGATCCTGACTACTCGCAGTTAGCACATTGTGCGTTATACCCATTATGTTTTCAAACCTCAATAGCTATCATCTAAGTAATCACTAAAACAATCTCACGTGTGTATGTTCCGACTAATATCATGAGTCCTAGTGTTTCATCGTTATTGTATCTAATGTATCACGTATACAGATACAAGACTCTTTCCTGATCATATTTTGTGCATCTCATGATATGCAGTTAGTTGAACAGAAAAGAAAAGGAAAAAAAATATAAAGTGTGAGGATACTGAGTTGTTGCTTCACTCTCTGTGGCTGCAGTTTTCATTTTCTTTGATGCAGGAGATTTCTGTGCTTTACGTTGGGTTTTTGAAGATCCAACAGTTGTAACCTTGAAAGATTGATACCAATCATGAAGATTAATGAGGTCACCGTACTCTTGAGCGAGATTGTACCTGAATGCAGGTGAACATATTTTTTACATGATAGTCAATAATTATTCGTGTTAACTTATAAGTGCTACGGTTAGTACTTAAGTATGTCCAGTCTCAGCAACAAGAATCGTCAAAGCATGAATGTAAATGTTAGAGGCTAGATCAAAGCAGAAAAGTATTTCAAGGAAAAGTCAAACCACTCACATGATAGAGGTATCATGCATTGAGGGTGATATACTTTCTCCTTTGCCACAACAACTGCATTGAAGATGGCTTTGAGACTTCAGCAGATCAACCTGAATTGTTCTTCTTGGATCCCCTATTAAAGCCTGTGCACAACATGAGATCAGAGAATAACATAAAATAATATTACTAACTTCTGAAACATATGCTTGCAGGTACTCAAACATAAATGCAAACATACACCCTCTAGTCAAGTAACATTAATGAGATCTCAGAAGTTTTTTGAGGGATAAACTTTTCAGTTGTTTTAATAGATACTGCCAATAATACTTTTCAATAAGGAAAAAATTTGTTATTTGACAATTTAAGTTTCATATTGAAAGAACAGTGCCAGAGTTATGGTTCATGAACGCAGTTGGGTGCCAGAATTGTTATTTGACAATTTAGTTTCACACTGACAAATTTAATTTCATATTAATAAATACTCATCATTTTCAATTTGAACTACCTCTAGTCACATCTGAAGCAAAGCTATGTGTGTAAGCTCTTAACTCAAAAAAAGTGAGTTGGAAGGGAAAAAATGAGAGGCCAGACAAACAATAAAGCTTGATTCAGATTTTTAAAAAAGGAACCACAAGAAGGGAAATATAAAGTAAACATAGACTAGTTGGTCTTTATTAATGCAAGTTGCAGCAAACATGAGCAAAAATAGTATACAAAGCTATAAAAAACTTACTGCTTGCAGAATGTCAACATTTTTAAAGCAGATAACTTCATGGAATGGTATACTCTCAATGGGGATCAGAAAATTCCTGTTGAAACGTAACATTATCAGAATTTGAATTGCTTAATGAAAAAGAAGCCAAAACAAAATTTCTGTAAAAAACATTAAAATAAAAAGAATACCACTAGCTATACTTCTAGCAAACAGAGAGTAAACTAGAAAGTAATAAAAAGTTACTGAATGTGTAGCCCTGACATTTACAGTGTTTTTTAACAAGAGTGTCATTTTTAAATTAGTTTGAGCATGATTTTATCTTTTTTCAAAGCTATTTCTGAAAGAAAGAAAGCAGAATATATTAAAAAAATGCATGGCAGATAAAAGCATATCCCTACCTGACCATGCCATCCAACAGCATAGCTGCTTTATCGCTAACTGATTGCATTCCCTTTGCGGTGCCCGCAGATCTTAGTTTCCTGTAACATGAAATACAAACGGTTGCTTCAAGTAGATTCCATATTTCAAGGTTGTTTTGAAAATTGGGCCTTCTTACACTATTACAACTACCAACTTTGAACCCAAGAACTAATGTGTTGAATCTTAAAGATCCCTACTTGTCAATGGTACGCAGAAAAATAGCTGTTGTTTACCCACGATGCTAGTACTGATGGAAAAGCTAGTTTCAGAATTTTAAAAGTAAGAATTAACATCAGATTGAAACTGATCTGTAAATGTCTAACTTAAAGAATAAACGCATAAAAGTATCAAGTTGTATTTCCACATCCGCTCACTTCCAGATGTGCACATGCATATTTACATATATACATATAGTAACATACATCAGGACAGATATATACATAATATCTACTCTAAAATACTACATACATGTATTGAGTTTCATCCTGCTCTTTGGTTGTTCTCAACTTTTCAAAAAGAAAAAGAAAACAATTCAATTTGATAACATTTTGTTGTTGATAGATGATTGATATGTATGATCTAGCTTGAAGGGGAATATTGCAACCGCTAGTATAAGTAAGTTAGAACATTGTTTGACCCACATCAAAAGATTATGTCTTCGTGGTTTCTCCTCTTTTTTATAAATGAAAGCTGACCGCCCCTCTCCGGATACCAGTCAGTTTCCCATTATTTTGTGTGTGCACGCGTTTGCATGTGCGTGCATATGTATATATGCATACCCATAGTACCGTAGCAATACATAATATATAAATACACATATTCATATGCATATTACCTCCATTATTATGTCATATTGCTATTCTAGATTTTTTTTTGGAATAATTTACATTATTTACATATCTACCATGTTGGATCATGCCAACACGCTCTGTGTAGCTGCCATATTTCTACTAGAAAATAACAGCACGTCCAGTGGATCTACTATATTGTACATCTAAGTGCAAGAGATGAGTAATCTTTCCAGGGTACTGTTTGCTGTAAGTGTTTAGTTTACAAAGAGATGAAAGTTTATGTATAATTCCTATCTTAAGTGAGGGAGCAACTAGCTGAATGGTAGACTTCTAATAAAATTGTGTAATCGAAACGTGCAGCTTTCCCAACTCAATATATCTGTTTGATCAAGGTGTCACTTTATGAATAGATACACCTTAAAATTAATATTTGATACATATCCCTTATATTCTCACAGTCAGGACTAAGATGACAGGAAAGAGAAGGTTGAAAAAGATTATAAAGAAAACTGGGAGATCTTAGTTGGACGTTGGGTACTCTAAAGTGAAAGGAAATCTGTTTCTGCATAATCATATATGGCAGTTTCCACGTCCGAAAGATGACAACTCCGCAACAACCATAGATTTTGAAGGCAAAATCCAGCTGAACTATCCTTATACAACATATCATAACACCCATACTCTCTTTCCAACGTGCAAAAGAAGGAAGAGACAAAGGGTTAGAGACACACTTATAAATTTCTGTTGCAGATTCTCTTGAAATCTGGCTAGCATCTGTCGTTCCTATTATGGATTGGAGCTCTTTCACTTTGTCATGGACCTAAGATTGAACCATGATCAATCATGTCAGTTTCAGTTTGATATATATAAATAGGCATTTCAATCTAAACCATGAACTCCAAATAATTAAAAGTCAGCATCACTATGAAACCAAGAAACAGCTAAAGTCAACTAGCAAACCAAACTATTAGAATTTCACAGACAAAATAAACACTATTGCCTTGCAGCAAAAAAACATGAATACTTTACACATGTTAAAATTACCCACATCTTGCACTAGGTGATTTTTTTCAGCCTGTTCTCTGATTACCAAAAAGAAAATCCTACCATCAAACATACATTTAGCTTGTGAAAACATGGAAATAAAGCCAGAAAAAACTTCAACAATCCATAGGAAACAGTCAAGCCTAGGAAACTTTAAATGGAGCCTGGGATGAATAGGGTCAGGTGGAGACTGGTTACACTATCATCATGTCAATCTACTAATAAGAGCAATTTTGGAATGAATGATGATCCATGCATCATGGTACCAAAATAGAACTGAAGAAAATATTGTATTGACATCTTTACAAATTCAACCCTGTAGTTCTTGAGTAGACTATGATGAAGAGGGATATAACTTTCGAAGTATGCCACTCCTGAGTGGCTGTGGAAGGAAATCAACCAACATAACTGCTTAACATAGTAGCTTTTCCCTGTAAATTTCTACCCAGCCAGGTGAACAATTAGAGATTTAACTAGAGCTCACAAAAGATCACATAACTACTATAAGAAAAGCACATTGCTGCAGCGAATTTAAAATTCCAAAAGGTGCAAGACCACACTATGTTTTGCAATCAGTTATGTTTCCTCAAATGCTGATGGTGCTACTAAAGTGAATGGAACTACAGAAATTCAGATTAAATTTCAAGCCATTCCTACCAAAACATTGTGTATTTAAAAAAATACTGAGGCGCCAGATTCTACCTGGCTTATTTCTCTGGTGTGAATACTCCACATAGTCAGCAAACGAGAAAGTGATGCAACTGACAGCTCCCTGGCCATGTTGAAAAGGGTTTAATATGTTTTAATATAAAACACAAAACAGAAATACAGAGAGAAAAGCAATTGAAGATGCTTCAAACATTTATAAATGCAACAAAAAAAACAGCTGGTAACCTCCGAAAGAGAAGATTAAAATTCTTTTTTCAGGTGTGAGATTATGTCAGACTTGTTAGCAATTGTAAACTTGAGAGGGTCAATGTTTTTTGGGTAAAGTGTAGATCTGCTGGCACATACTGACAATGTGAGCAGTCATGGTCTAATTCTTCACATGTGGTTTCAGTTCATCATCAACCAAAAGATATACTAAAAAGATCTTCATAAGAGACGTGATAGTACCAAGTATATTGCTCATTTGAAGAAGAACTTAGTGACCAAGTATATTGCTCATTTGAAGAAGAATTTAGTGACCAAGTATATTGCTGGGATAGTACCAAGTATATTGCTGAGATAGTAAGTATATTGCTGATTAAAAGCATTCACATACCTTACCTTCTGTATCGCCTGAGCAAGAAATCCACCTTTTGTAAAACCACACTTCCCTTCAATCAAATTGTCATAAGCCGATGAGGATATTGGCAACATTTGATCTGAATTTCTTAGGTTGTAGAGTGATGGATCAGCAGCCTCACAGAAAATGTCTAGTAGTTGCATCTTGTTTAGTTTTCCAACTTCAAATAAGCACTAGAAATGAAGAAGGAAACAGAATCATTATCTAGAAATATAACTGTCCCTTGTGTGTATGTGTTTTCCTTTTATTTTCTTTCTTTCTTTCTTTTTTTTTTTTGAGGGGGTGGGGGACTACGAATGTACCTCTGGGGAAAAAACAGCATACTTAGCATGATAGAGGGCTATTGCGATTGACCGGTTCGTAGATATTAAGAAGCATGTAGACAGGGAGTTTTTTTTTTTCAGAAACTGAGCTATTCAGAAACTGAGCTATCCTTGGTAGCTGTTACTTGGGTATAGATATTCAGTTTTGTTAAAAGAAACTGAATTGGTATTAGAAATCAAAAAGAGCCTAAAATCTTCAATTCATGGTAGGCAGTTATATACTTCAAGCGCAGCTCAGTGTTCACTAAAATCAACTAAAAAATTCTTCTCGTTAAATGACAATTATACTTTTGGCACATGCAAATGTACATGTCAATTGGAAAATAAGTAGAAAATAGTTTAAATCATTAGTGAAATTTTGATAGTGGAAAGGTGTATGGACTTCATAAGATTGGGCTTTTTAATTTATCACGTACATTTGCATGTGCCAAATGTATAATTGTCATTCAGTGAGAAGAATTTGGAGTCATAACATTAGAGATAGGTTTAGCCTTTTAATTTGTCTTTGATTTTTTGATATTCATATGATAATGCAAAATGTACTTGAGGCTTTGGAGTCATAACAGTAGAGATAAGTACAAATAGGTGTCACCTGTACAAGGCTGGACCAATCTCATACTGTTATACTTATGACTCCAAAGCCTCGAATACACTTTGCACTATTAGGATTATTGCAAGTACTTATCTAGTCCAAATTTCCTTGGTTAGGAATATGGCACTAATTAAGTGAGAGGTTATGTCAGGTCGACATTCAGTTGTAAATTTTCGTCAAATATTTCATGGAACCTTGAACCATGATCAACACTATTTGGGTTGAGAAGGTTTAGATGTCAATGTCGGCGATGATGGGATAATGTAAAAACTGGAAAAAAATGCTTATACTTCCTTAATCTTTATCAACAATTCAAAGACTATAGGCCCTACCAGAACAACAGAACTCCAGTTCCTTTGCAGTATCCTCAACTTTGACAGCCCTTCAATGAGATCATCACAAGTGCCACTGGAAACTTTTGCCCTGATGATGATAAACAATTAAGGTTTTCTGTAAGCTTGCATGCATGTTGCATGCATGAATTCATAAGTGCATACATGTATCTGCATCTGCATGTGTTCCCCTCTCTGCATACATACATACCTCTGACAGGATGGAAACTCAAAAGCATGCTGCCTCATGCTGTCAGGCAAAGCTTCACATTTGTGATGCCAATATTTCTGCAGCAGATTAAAGAATGAGCAAACGACAAGCAAAAGACATAAGAAATAGCATAAATATTCAGAAAAGTTAAAAGAAGCAAACTGCTGCAGTAAATGATTGGAACATAAAACTCTTCCGACTAAACAGTCTATAAAGGATGATTAAAAACTAAATTTCTGACTTAAATGGTTGGGGAAGGATGAAAAGTTGCAATGATTTGAATTTTTAAATCAATTAGATTATGAAAATGTGCCACAACAATAAAATCAAGCAAGAACTGCTACATAATAGTGTCATTTCTAAGGAATGTCGTTGGTGAGTTTAGGTTGATACTCTGAGCTTAATTTTGACAATAATAAATTAGGTAACAAGAAGAGTGAGTTGCTTTACTGAATAAATTATAGTGATCTTTAAAGCTGGTCCAAAAAATACAGCGCAATAAATAAATAGCAACATCATTGAATTTCCAAAGATAAAAAGAAGTTTAACCTCACAATTATCGTCGAGTATACCCTGGCCCAAAAAGCTCAGAGGCTCTAGTGAGAAGTGTTTAATACATGCAATCTGCTAAGAGAAGATTTCGAAAGTGAGGCACAAAGCAAAACAACAAGAAGCATAAAAGATTTCCAAATAAGTGAAAAGGATAAGAACTAGAAGACGCAAGACTGACCTTTAGCGCCCTTACAAGAGAAGTTACTGTTCCATCATGTCTAAAGAAATAGTTCCGCAAGAACACTGCAACCTTGTGACCAATATTGAACCCTGAACACGTTTTTACCAGGACGGACTCTGTTAAAGCATCCATTCTCTCACAGGGTGATCCCAATGTGAACTTAAATGGTTGCAGACGTTGTAATGTATCTGAAGCAAGAAGTTTCCTCGGGGCATCAACAGTTGTTGCAACGCCCATTATGAAGAATATTGGAATCTTGATCACCCATTCGCTGCGTACAGGAGCAAATTTAAGGCCAACCGGGAAACATAAAAGAATAATGAACACAGACAGTACTATTCCCAGTAAAATGTAAGTAGTATGGCTGAGACATGAAGTTGAAATCCAATGTTGGTAATTCAACTTCCATAAGATAAAACCAGCATAACTTTATGTTTTCCCACAATTTTGCCTCAAAAAATTATGCTAAGCAACTAGATAAGCACTTCAAACTAAACATAGAAAATTCAAATGTATGGTCTAGACCCAATGAGGATGTAAAATGCAACTTCTTGCCTGCTTCAACTTATATCAGGATATGAATTACTAGGTCACCTAACTTGACAAGTCTCTGGGAGATAGACAGACTCTAATTAAGTAAGCTAGATCCGGACTATTTCTAAATCAACAATTATAAGTGATATGCTAACTAACCAACACACAAACAAATCACTAAGATGCCGAAATACCAATGAGAAGAAATTGAAGGGACTAGATTACCTCAGCAGGTTGATAAACTCAGCAAGCGTCTCACCGTTGCATCGCTCCATATCATCTATTATCACAATGACAGGACGATCACAGTTCGATGGTTCACAGTACCACGATGCTAGCATGGTTATGTCAGAGACCTGTTAAACAAAGACACTTGAATTCATGAGGATATGAATGTAAGCAGGAGAGCAGACCTCATGAAAATCTCATATTAACAATCTTACATCAATCGCCTCCGTAACCAACTGCCTCAACAAGCTTCTAAGGCAGTTGCCAATACCATGCTTTGCCGAAAAGTCCAATGAGGTTAAATTCGCCACATGGCATCCACTGGATTTCAAGTGCCCACTGAGTTCTTGGAATGTCAAAAGATCATCAACAAACTCCGCATTCTCTACACAAACCAACTTCAATTATATGCTTTATAGCTGAATTTTTTTATTTCCATAGTAAAGAAAACTAATCAGAAAAACATACTTGTAAGTATAAAACCAGTTGGTATCTGCTTGCATATAGCATCAGATATAATAGGGAATGGCCGTTGAATTGCCAATATATTCTGCGCCCTAACAGACTTGACAACAGAGAGCGACTCGCTAATCCATTGATGCACCTCGTTGAAAACATCAAGGTTGATTTTCCTCAAAACCTCCTAAAAGTACAAGAAATTTTCAGAAAAAAAAAACTGAAAATTTAATGTTAGAGACGCAAATTAGGAAAGAATAGAACCTTGATAGCAAGATGGATCTTCGACCAAGTCAGATCGAACGCTTCTATCCTCAATTGCTCATAGAAAGCATCATCAGACTGAGATTCGTCGGCTTTGGCGGCAGATTTTGAGGGAGAGGAAGGAAGATCGATCTTTCTTCGCGCTTTTTTAACTCCGCAAGGTTTTATCTCGGATTTTCGAGACGATGCCTTGTGAAGAACGAAGAATGGCTGCAGAAGAGAGAGATCAGTAAATATTAGAGAATAGATTTGAGGAATCGATGGGATTTGTGAGACGCAGAGAGAGAGAGAGAGGAGAACCTGGAGATTGTTGTCGGCGGCGTCGATTGAAGAGGCGGAGGGAGAAGGAGGATGATCGGAGATCGGAGACGACGGCATCATGGGATTCGATCGGAGAGGGGAAAATGGGGGCTAGGGTTTTACCTTTTGGGGGAACCGCTATTAAAACATGAGGGCGTGACTGTGTTTTTTTGGCGGGAAAAAGAAGAGCAGCGTAAATATTAGGCCGTTAAAACCGCGTAAATGTTGAGCTGTTAAAAAACAACGTGGGGTCCATCTGTCAGCGTAATTCTTACGCTGTTAAAATGTTTGGGTTATCTTATATGATGGTCCCTTTAAAATCTCCCATAACTTTTAAAATTTTAGAATTAGGGGCCGTTTGGTTCGTTTTTTAACTCGGTGGAAAAGTTTTACACCGCCTCCACATCAGATTTTTCGTGGTCACGTAGGATATAAGTTTTCCGTCGTTTTTTCCCCATCTTTGGTTCGCTAGGGTTGAAGAAGGGAAACTCGGTGAAAATCGCAATCACATCAGATTTTTTCTCTCGCCCAATTCCTTCTTCAATCTCGTGAAATCGACGAAAACTGCAGCTACGTTAGCTTTTTGCCATATAAACAAAAGTTTTCCCTTTTTTCCATGCGAACCAAACACAAGAAAAATAAATACATTGGTTTCCCACCATTTTTTATGTGCGAACAAAAACGAAACAATCGATTTCTTAGAAAAGTTTGGAAAACTCAAAACTTGTGTTTTTTTACATGGAAATGCATATCCATGTATCTAGGAAACGAACCAAACAGCCCCTTAGCGACAAAATCTTTTTTTTTATAATGTAAATGCTTTTGGATCCGGCCCACAACCTTCTGCCTGGCCCAAGACAACTTAGACTAGCAACGGTGAGACCGATGAGATGGAGTCTCTACGGTTCCGTTTGGCAAATGGTTAATGAAGAGGGGTTAAAGAGAATGATTAATATACTTAGCTCATTTGATAATCCGAATGATTAAATTATTAACCCGTTAAATAAGTTTTATTTTAGCCCTTATGATCAGTTTTAGTGTTTGGGAATAACAATGATTTTGACTATTTTCTTTATAATTAGAAGGGTTAACTATTATTCCATCTAAATAGGAGTATTAGTAAACCCCTTATTTTGAGGGGTTAACTCATTTTAACCCCTCTAGAGGGGTTAATTTAACCATTCTATATTTTTTATGTTTGGCAAATTATGGAGGGTTAACTCACTTTAACCCTTATATAGATTTGTTGTGTTTGGCAGGTTAAGAAGGGGTTAAGTCTCCTTAATCCCTCACTTAACCCTTTACCAAACGATACCTACAGTGGTAAATGCAAAGTTAATTAACAAAAATCTCCTCATTTCATCAAAAACATCAACTAACTCCACTCGCACCAAAAAACAACACTTCCTCAGTGGGGCCACCTATTCACTAGCGGACAAATTTTCAAAACCATCACATTTTAAAATTTATTTATAAAAAACGACCTATTTCAACCTTAATTGCAAAAACCGACCCAGTTGGTTGAAATTGGGTCGGTTTTTGAAAAAAAAAATTTCAAACTTCACGGGAGTTGAACTCCCGTGAAGTTTTGTTATGAAAAAAACTTCACGGGAGTTCAACTCCCGTGAAGTTTGAAAATCTTTTTTTTTCAAAAACAGACCCAGTTTCATCCAACTATGTATGTTTTTTTAATTAAGGTTGAAAAGGATCTTTTTTTGGGAATAAATTTCAAAACCGGATGATTTTGAAAATTTGTCCAATCATTAGCGGGTGCAAGGTTTAAAATAAAAAATTCTTCAAGGACCCAAAATATAGGACCAATAGGAGGGACAAGTGATGTGTCCCCCTCCTTTTATATAATGAGTTGATCATCATTAATGATAACCAACTCATTATCCAATAAGAAGGGGACACGTCCTCTAAAATTTCACGCACAAATCCCCTCTCTTTTGTCGGAAATTTTTCATCGCGATCAGAGCTGAGATCTTATCAGAGATCGTCACTGGAGTCCTCGGATCTCCGGCCGCTGTCGCCGCCTGAGTCCGGCGATGCGGTGCTCGATTCGTTTTCTAAGAGTTCGGATCTCGCATTAGGAGCAAGTATGTTTTCTTGAATTCGGGGGGATTTTTTAGGGTTTCTGATTCAATGGCGACGAGGAATCGGACGCCGTTGTTCAGAAAGTACAGGGACGCGCTTCGGAGCGTTAGGGTCCCGTCGGTATCGTCGCCTCCGTCTCAATCTGGGCCGTCGACGTCGAGCTCAGGGAACGGGCCGGTGACCGAATTGGTGAGCGCTTCGTTGTTGAACCGGAATCGGCATTATGCTCCTCTTAGTACGGATGATCCAGGGAGCTCTAGGTACTAGTTTGACTCTTTTTGTTGTGATTTTGATGATCCCTAGGATTTACTGTTGTGAATTGATTCGTAGATTTGGATCTAGTCTAAATCATCATTATCCTGTTCATGTTACTTAAAATTTCGTTATATATGTCGAGAAAATGAACTAAATTTTCAATTTTCCATCGGTCAAAGTAGTAATGTATCTTTATTCATGCATACGGATGATGTATAATCGCATATCAAATAGGCAAAAAGGAGAGTGAATTGAGTATTTCAATTTACACCATAGTTACAAAAAAGTAAATATCAATTGGAGAATGTGTAGAGAAGTATTTCAGATTACACCATAGGTAAGAAACAGGTAATAGCAATGTTTTGTACTACTAAATTGAAGAGCATAGAGAAGTATAACACATGATAGAATGGGAGAATGCATTTATAAGTTACAGGCAAAGGTGTCACGACCCCAATTTCCGAACCTAAAAGGAATATTAGAGCCGGACTAAACCTGTGAAAAGTCCTCCAAAATATACATTCATTAAAAGACCACTAAAACAAATCTTTTCATTGAACTAAAACCAACAACAAATATTCTCTATAATCCCAAAAGTCAAACTAAGCCAATTAATTTGATAAAAATAAATATTCCTCAACTCCAAATAAATCTCAACCTAAAGAAAGAATTCTCATTATTACAAAACTCTCAATTCATCAACTAAACATTAAAGACTTTATTTAACCTTCGCCTAGAAGACAATAACAATCTTGAATTATATTCTTTGCTTCGTTCTAAGAATTTGGCAAATCCTCAATTCCACTTAATCCCAAGTCTCTGAAAAGAATGAAAACAACACAATGAGTTCACAACTCAATAAGTGGATAAATTTATACATTAAACACTGGTTTTGCAAAACTAAAATAAATTGACTTGATAAGCGAAATACTAAAATAGTAAAATCTATAATACAACACCTTTAAAATATATACATGCAATGGAAATAAGCATGTCACGTCTCAATGCGGTCAACACTTCGATACTCCGGTTGACTTGGCAAACTCCACTATTATATAGCCCGTGGTCGGGACGATGAGACCCAAACTTGGGCTCTTAGCGCTAAAATAAAAACCTCATAGAGGCACATTGAGCCCTATTTTAATAACTTGCTTATATCCGACATATACCGGTATATTGACTTGAAATGCATATGTTTAAAAAGAAAAATGAACAAAGTTCATATAATTAAGTATGTTATACAAAAATACCAAAGGCCAACCAATAGTGAAATCAATCAACCACATATGCATCTCAACCTACTACTATATGAAAATACATAACAATTGACAAAGAAAATAAGCATAGACTTATACCAAAATATCCATGAACATCACAAAATCAAACCAATCAACAAATGATATACCAATAATTCATACGAAGGATATAATCCATCATGAACAAATCAAAGTATACTTGATATAATTATATAAAAAAATACGCAGCGCACAATGCATAAATTCACCACTTACCTTAACTTGATAGACAATCCAATCCAATTCCCGACGATTCGAGTGCCTCTAGAATTTCCTAAAGATTAAATTCAAACAGCCTTCAATACGATCCTCGTATTAAAATACATTAAACATACTAAGCCTATTCAAAAGATCATAATATATTACTAAAATTTAGCAAACTATTTTCTGTTTTTGCTTGCTACAAAAAGACAAAAGAACCAGTAGCTTCCATCTAAAATCCAAACAAACTATTTTCTGTTTTTGCTTGCTACAAAAAGACAAAAGAACCAGTAGCTTCCATCTAAAATCCAAACAGTTAATATTCTATATTCTATAAGTTACCTGCATACAACCATCAATGTTAAATAATTTATCATTTAAGATGATATAAATTCTATAGGTGTTAAAAGAAACAAGTGCTGCACTATTACCTATAGAAGCCTAAGACATAGTCATGATCTTAGGAGAAGAGCGCTCGACAACGCCGATGGAAAACAAGTAATCAGTTCTCTCGTTCTTTCTTCTCTCACTGATTTACCTTTCTTTTTTTTTTGCGGCGGAACAGGGACAGGAAAAAGAAGAGGAGGCTGACGGGAATCAAAGAAATAGGGTTTTGGATATTTATAAAGGCTCTTTTTACTAATAGAACCCTCAAACAAAATTTGCATAAAAGTCCTCTTACACTTATATTTATAAATTAATATTATTAACTCCATTGTTTGGATATCTATTTAAACAAATAATAACTTAGACTTATCATCACTTAGAAAAATTAGGGATATTACAAAAGGTGTGGTTAGGCATCCAAAGAGGGCAGTGGATAGTAGTATCTCATGGTATACTTCACCAAAACCAAATTATACTATATTAGTCAAAATCAAATACCTAATATACAAGAAAATAAGATCTAATTCGTAAAGTCGCGCCTCCGGTGTTCAAATAGTTACTTCTTTCAGTAGAAAATCCTATTTGATGAGCTCACCTTTAATCAGATCAAATATCTCTCTATAGGCACTTGATTTCAGAAGTGTTAATAGAAAACAGCCATCATACTTGTTTTTATCTTCTTTTTGAATGTAAGATTCTACTACGCAAAACGGCTTTCCTTGACAAGCGCTTTTCCTCGATTCTCGGGTAGAGCATCGATACGGTTGTTCAGAGGATTCTTAGACTTGGGGAAGTCCACGCTGCGGTGGGGCTTTACCGAAGGTTCGGGACCTGAAATTGACGAAGGTTGGAGAGCAATATTACCTGCTATTACCTTAGGCGTTGATTTGACCTTTGGTACCCAAACTCGTTCAGATCTCGGCGAACAATCTTTCTCTACCCTGTGTTACCTACGCATTGAGTTTTTGCCCCCCTTTTGACCCCTGCAGTAGAGGTGCACTCACTGTTGGTCTACCTCCAGCTTGGGTGGATGTTTCTGAAGAAATAGCTGTAGATATACAACGGGCTCGCACAAAAATGTCAGAGTTAGTGAAGGCTCATGCAAAAGCTTTAATGCCTTCTTTTGGAGATGGAAAAGAGGAACAACATGCAATTGAGACTCTTACTCAAGAGATTACACATTTGTTAAGGAGGTCAGAGAAGAGATTAAAGAAACTTTCTTTAAGTGGGACCTCTGAAGACTTGAATGTTCAGAAAAATGTCCAGGTTTATTCCATGTTTGCTATTCATTTTGAGGTTTCGTTAATTCATGTTAGACAGCAAATGCAGTGGCCGCGAGAGTTTTACTGATCAATCTATTAGAAGCTGGTGATCTTTGATGACGGCCTTTTGTTGAAGACAAATTTTTCATGACTATTTTCTCGTGCAGAGATCACTGGCTACTGATCTCCAGAGTCTTTCAGTGGAGCTTCGTAAAAAACAGTCTACTTATTTAAAGCGCCTCCGACAGCAAAAGGAGGAGGTATAGCGAGCTTCCTTTGGTTTACTATACAGGCTTTTTTTGGGTTATTTTTCTATTGTCTCATCAGTTTTTTCATATTTTTTATGCATACAATTATCCAGGGTCAAGATGGTATCGACTTGGAGATGAAATTGGATGGAAAGAAGTCTAGATTCGATGATGATGATGATGATTTTGTGAATGTGGTATGTTATTTGTTCTCTATTTTAATGCGACAGTGATATTTTCGAGTTTTTCTTCTCAAACTCGTCAGTTTATTTTGATTAATTATTATTGATAGGATCATTCAATATCGTTCTCTTGTTGAAGAAATAATATAATGACTAATGGTATTTCTCAGGCCTGAAATGTGTCTGTCCAGATATACAATGACTAGCTTACTGGGTTTTCAAAAGTTTCTTTTGTTTTGTTTGCTTGATTATCAAGTCCACTTTTGTGATGTTTTTTTGGTATTCAAGTATCAGCACTTGTAGGCTACTAAGGCTATAGTTGTTATGGTGCTTAGGATTTGTGCTTCAAGCTTAAATTCAATTTGGGATTTACTAGGTTAAACCCAGTGCTGCAGAACTGTGGGCTTATGCAAACTACAAAAACAGCCTTTGATTCCTTAGCCGGGAGCCAACTGGATAATGTAATAGGGAACAGTCTGAAATATGGAAATGTACATAGATAGTGTCATAGGATTGCAGGCTCGTGACTAATGGATGTTTATATTCATGAAGCTCACAGTGGATGTCCAATACTCCAATATTAGACTTTTTGCTTATAATTTATTGGTTCAAGGCAAATTTAACACCTGAATCCTTGTTGGTAGATCTAATTTATTTTTCAATTCTTGCCTCTTCCTGTTGTCGAACAATTAACTTGGATCTAGGTGTGTGTCCATGTGTCCTGCTAGATTTATTGGCTGAAATTTTCTAAGTACTGTCTCCACGATCTTAGTATAGGCATTTCATCTCTGGACAGTCTTTTCCCCTCCCTATTGTAGTTGTTTGCCTGGCTGAATAGCACTAATCGCTAAATTTTGATGCCTCGGTCTATGAATTTTCTTTAGTTTTCACATGGCATTGTGATGCAGGACGATCATTAGCTGTTGATCATGAATTTTATACATTTAGGACATGTTTGTTTGCACGGAAGTAATTATGAAATAGCTGAAGTAAAAGAAGTAGATGTTACTTCTGCTACTTCCAAGCAAAAAAGTGTGTTTGGTTCTCTGAAAAACTTATTTCCAATACTTCCTTAAATGCTTATGTGGCATTTACGTGTCATCCTTACTTCCAAAATATTTTTCTAATCATCAATACTCAGAAGTAGCTTGGAAGTAGTTGAAATGCATATTAGTTAGAAAATAAATAATTTTTTATTAATATTTTCTTTATTAGTTACTTCTAACAACTTTTCATTGAAAAAATTGCTCTTAATTTTAATAATTATTTTGTAGTAATTTGTGATTGTCGTCGGCCAGCTTTTCTTTGGGATGAAGAGAACAGTTTGTCTATTAATTCTTTGTCTAAATACCACGTTGATGTTACGATCAAAGGAACGAAGGAGGAGGGGAAATTGGAGATTCATAGGAATTTATGGTCATCCGGAGTCTCATCATAGGCGAGAGGTAAATAATTATTTTGAAGCTATGTGGTTGAAGGATGCTTCTTGCTCTCAAGTGGCGAGGGGTCATAGCGGCATGAAACTGGTTGTAACGTGCTAGATCAAGTTAAAGAGCGTGGCTTGGCTTTGAAATTATGGAAGCAACATGTGTTAATTACTTCCTAGTAATATTTCCAAATGTTATCCAAACAAAAAAAGTAAATAAAGAGGAAGAAGTTCTACTTCCATTACTTTTAAAAATATATGAAACAAACAAATAAAATACTATTTTCAGTACTTCCTACTTCATAGTTTTGAAAGTTAATTCTATAACCTACTTCTTACTACCAATACTTTTATTATCCAAACGGGTCCTTACTGTAATCTTTATTATTTTAGTAATATTTGATGTAATCTCCAATTTTAGGTTAAGATCTTCATAGGATTTGATGTGGGATTGTTAGGATCTCTGGGACTTATTTTCTTAGAGTTGTTTCCTTTTTATTAGGATTTTGATTTCCTTTACATGTTTAGTTTTTTTCTATAAATAAGGTCGTCATCCTCTAGGAGGAATTAGAAAATGATTAATGAAAAATTAAGTTGGTCTTGAGCATGTGAATTGTTTATTGGCATGCGAAGCGTCTTTTGGGTGTGAGGGCCGTAGGTGTGATGCCTAGTACTTTTCAAAATCCTCTTTCAATTATCATTCTTGATCCTCCACAACTCATCTCCTCTCCAAAAGAATCCCCACCATAAATTTTAATTTTAAAAAAGAAAAGATTTGTCACTGTTCACGGGTGAACAGCTCTACCACTGTTCACGGCAAATAGTAAAACCGGCTGGTGTTTGCGAGAGGAATAGTAACATTGCTTACTGTTCATCATGGATTTTAACCCCATTCCGCCAAGCTGTCGACGATTTCTCACCTCCAAATCGAGGCCCTCCGCCTGCTCCCCATCACATTGATAACATTTGTACTGAATTATACTGCACCTTTTCTTTCTACAGGGTTTCAGTGATCACCAGATGTCTCAGGTGAAAAAGAGTGAGGCCTTAACAAGAGAGAGGGAAAAAGAGATCGCGCAGGTAATATTTTTGTCATCCCTAATATGTCAGAGAAAATGGGTCATTAAATTAGTGTATCCTTTCTTGTATGTGTCACAAAGATATATGATCCTTCTCAAGTTTACTACCGGTTAACCTAACAATCTGGATAGAATTTGTTATGTAGGTTGTAGAATCAGTGAATGACCTTGCTCAAATCATGAAGGATCTCTCTGTTCTTGTAATAGACCAGGTAAACTAGGACATTTTTTAGAATGTGAATAGAAAATCTGTTGCCCTTCAATGAGCAGGGGACCATCATCGACCGGATTGATTATAATGTCCAGAATGTTGCAGCGTCAGTTGAAGAAGGATTTAAACAACTGCAAAAGGTTTTCTCTCTTTTATTTTTGCATATCTATGTTTTCTTGTTTCGTTTTTGCAGCATCAGCTGTCCTGCACGTGTCTGTTCTTCTATATATGGTTCTTGAACTTTTGTCTTTTCCCATAGAATTGGTAACTGACTCTCACTAATTTCCTTGTTTAAGCCCAATATTTGTGCTGCTCTTGCACCGAATTATAGTTTACATTATAGCTTAAGGACACACCTTTTATATGGACATAAAAGTTAATGTTATACACATTACCAAACACTATTCTTCATCCAGCATAATTTTGGTAGCAAGTGATATTAAAACTTTGAGTTGTCAGTGATACTTAATTGATTACTCTTCGTTTGATCAATTCTCTATTTTTATAATTTGTATAAAACTTTAGGCAGAGTTAATACCCAGTTGAAACAGCTCTATGGGGACCCCCCAAAAGAAACATAAACAAATAAATAAATATTTTGTTCTTGCCAAAGCAGAGTCTGCAGATATTTATGATATCTCAAACCTTCACTAGCGTACTAACATGAGAAATCCTTGCCAATATATGCATGCTTAGAATTTGCTTATCCATTTCTTTTTCTCTGAGACGACTAGTTTCAGCTGAGATTTAAATATCAAATGCAGAGTTGTTATGTCTAATATCCCAGCTTAAATTTGTGTTCTCTATGATAAACAGGCAGAAAGAACACAGAAGAAAGGAGGGATGGTTATGTGTGCAACTGTTCTTGTGATAATGTGTTTCGTCATGCTAGTCCTCCTAATTCTCAAGGCGATACTGTTTTGATACATAGTGATAAATATTATTTCATCGACATTTTCAGCGTTACATATCCCCCCATATTATTTCTCAATCTCACAGATATAGAAAAATTCAAGCTTCGGAGTGCATTAACTGCATGATACATACAAGGAGTGGCTTCATGCTGAAGCCCACGAGGATGTGTGTGTATTGCGTATGTACGACAGGGATTTGGGCATCCTCCACCATATGCATTATGAGGTGGAATCTCCAATTTTGAAGAATGTAGTTTTTGCCCATATTTATAGTTCGCATATCCCATTGAGACTGCTGGCTCTCGTGATGTATATTTTCACTATCTATTCTTTTTTCCCCTCTCTCTCTCTCTATCTGCTTGGGCAATAGAAATATATCTTCCTTGACTACAAAGATGTTTCTTTTTCTTTTTCTTTTTCATATAATTTTGGCATTGATGGGATGTGGAGGCCACTGATGACTGGCGTGATTTGTGTAAGATCTATATTTTTTGTGGTGAGCAGCTATGGTATTGTTCGTTTGAGTTGGCCATGTGTATTTTATGATATGTGCAATGCTTGATGGGTGAAAGCAAGGAAATAAAAGACTCTTGTTTCAGTTTACTTTATTTTGATCCTTCAGGGATGCGATTCTGGAACATCTCCAAGATACAATCAAACTTTATGCCCATTTTTGCATATTTGGTCTTGTATTTCGAGAGAATCGCATATTTTGACCTCATATTTCCTTTAGTTTCTTGCATGATCTTGTGCCTTGTGGATCATTTTGTGAATATTTCGCCAGTGGTTGATTGAAGTGTTTTAGTAGAAATTTCCTTACATGAAGAGTTAATGTTGAATCTTGCCTTTTCTACGTTTTAGTACATCAATCTGCTATTTGTTTCTTTTTACAAATATTATCTTCGTGCCAACTGCTATCTACTTAAGAAAGATTCAATCAAAAACAAAGCTAGACCATCGTTAGATTTTTTTTTTTTTTTTTGTAGAGTAATAATATTAATAACTTACTTCTGACAAATTACTGAAAATTCCAATCTCCTTATTGACGCGTGTTGTTTTCAAATCAGACTTTAGGCCCTTTTTGCCTAGTTACATAGTATGGTGTTATGTCACATTTCTTAATACACGTCTTTAGATTCCCAAGTCAAAGAACATTAGAATGTGAATTATGAATCTTAGTTGAGAGTATTAGGGTAATTGCATTGATTAATTCAGCACGGCGATGAATTTAATGTCTTGGGCAGAGGTAAAATTGAAACTAAGATTGAGCATGATTCTTGGCCGGATATTTGATCTGGGTTCGTATCATTGGTTCTGAAGTGCAGTTGGTTTGCTAATAAAATGAATATTAGAAAAATAAAGTTGGGAGGAACAATTTTTTTTTTAATGGCGGAGGAGCAAGGAGGAAGAGAGAGGGAGAAGAGTCTGTTGTGATTAAAGCAATGTACGTAGAGTCTAGCTAATGTAAAGAGGATCTAACTGATCGTTCAATGGTAATAATAATCTAATGCAGCTATAGAAATAAAGCACCTCTGCTATTTTTGTGCACAAGTTTGACATTTGACTCGTCACTCCTTGTTGACTTGTAGTTAATATGAGTAACGTGGAGGAGAACTTCTAGGGTCGTACTTGATCATGAACATCTATGAAGCTGATGGAAAAATTCTATAGGGCGACTGAAAGACCGGTAATACTTCATGGATCGAAATATTGGGACAATTAAGAAAACATGTGCAAAAATGTGTGTAGCTAAAATGAGAATGTCAAAACGGACGTATGGATTTGCACTAGGAGATACGATCAGGAATTGCTTCCCTTGATGATAAAATGAGAGAATCGACTAAGATTGTTTGCTAGCTCATGTGCAACGGAGGTCACCGGTTAAAAGGACTGACGATGTCATAATCAACGTAAAATAAGGCTGAAAATAGGGTAATTGTGCGTGACTGGAAGCAATTACGAAGGATACGATAGTGATTAAATGAATAGAGGAGAAAACCATTAACAAAAACCAAATAGAAGGATATGCGCTTATAGCTGATGCCAAATTTTGGGGTTTTTGTTAGGAGAGAGAGAAAATGAAGAAGTTTATGTTATGCTTTGGGGGAGAAAAGAGAAGAAAAAAAAAAGAGGCATGCTTTAAGAGAGGGATGGATGAGCGGCGGCTTTCATATGTATCATACGAGAGAGATTGGAATAAATAGAAGCTAGGCAAAGAGTGACTAGACAATGCATGAGCATTGGTAGACAAAAGGTTGTGTAGGCCTCATGAAAAGGCTGTGGATCTTCTATACATTTATTAGGTTCATGTCAAATATTCTCATATTCGAAATATATCCATAGGCAGAAATTACAACTTTTCCTCTTTCTACAATTTACACTTTTTACATTTTTTTTCATATTATATATGTTCTTATTTAATTAGGTTCGGCCCCGTGATGTTTCATAATTTTTAAAGCTGCTTCCCTCTTTCTATATATAATCTTTCTCAATCGAAAAATTCCCCAATGACCCAAAATATTGGACCAACAGGGGGTCATGTGAGGTGTCCCCCTCCTATTGCATAATAAGTTGGCCATCATAATGACGACCAGCTCATTATGCAATAGGAGGGGGACACCTCACATGCCCCCCATGTCGGTCCCGTATTTTAGGTCCTTGTAGCAAAACTCTTCTCAAACAATTCAAAAGGACTGTGTCTCGCTGTTTGGGAGATAGGTGATAACTGCGGACTTTATTATCTCGATCATCTTAGTTTTTTCTGATATTTTTCTTGCTGAAATTGTTAAATCACAAAAGCAGTTTCTTCCATGTTTAGCTTCCTTGCTCTGAAAGAAAGTTTGATTTCCATGTTTCTTTCTCGTAGAGAGGCACGTGTTGACTGTTTTCTCGCGCTATTTTCGGCCTGTTTGCATTTTGTTTTGTTGAGCATTTGTGTGCCCGTGACATGTTACTGCCCTGGTACTGTTTGCCCCCCCCCCGAATCGGGCGGGCAATAATGACTGTAGTGAATGAAAATATGTTGTCCGTCCTCGTTATTCTTCAGGTATCTCACGCTAGTGCAGCTGAATAAGGACAATGAAAATATTGGATTGTTTCAAAAAGTTCTGTTATTTCTTTCACGTCAAACCGTCTAACAAGAGGCTGTTGTAATTAAGCACGGTTGTTATAGTCGTTTTAGTGCTAAAAAAGTAACATCCACTCAGTTTTAGTGCTAGCTCGTCACTTCAAGATAACCAAAGACCCAGCTCGGACGACTCGACACGGTGATATCTCGTGAGGGCGACTCAAAAGGCGTTACGTGTCGACCCCTGGCTGGGTCGACTTCTTGATTAACCTACTCGACTGACCATTCGGCCGATATCTCGTGAAGGCGACTCAAAAGGCGGTACTTCTCGACCTTCTACCGGACGAGTAGAAAGGCGACGACTACCTCGAGCCACCTCCGGCGCACTGACAGCTGACCACCTCAAAATAAATGTCATTAAATGTATAATAGGCGTTGTCATTTCTCTGTCCTCAGTAGTCTTTATGACACATCAGATCACGTCGGCGCCGCACTCCTCCGGTCACTTCATATTAAATACAGAAGTGACCTCCGCTCCACTCATCGGCTGATACCTATAAAGCATATGCTAACTTGGCCGACAGCCCATACTCGGTCGAAGTTACTATCCTACCCCTCTACTACCACTATAAATATGGTTACTATTTTCAGCATAAAGGGAAGATCTTTATCTCTACCCATAGTGCTTAAGAACTGCTATAGTTCAGTTACTTCTCCACTCAAATAAAATTACCGACTTGATTATCTGAGAAACAACCGGAGAACCTAACTCCGCCCTCTTACGATTTTCTACATGTGCAGGGAAGAACATCCCACTTCAGAACCGGACATTTGGAGGGTTAGACGACCCCCGTCAACCAAATAACTTCTCTCATTGATTGTTTAATATTAGCCATCAACAACCATAAAGATAGATTTAACTTTTTAATCCCAAACATCCTCCTAGCAAACCAAATATCACATAAATATCTAGGTTGTTCAGTGCCATTGAAGTACAACATAATATTTACCCAAAGAACATTCGTGAAAGAACAATGGAGGAATAAATGCTCTACTGTTTAGCGTTTGAAAGACAATGACACGTACATTAGGTCACTGCTGTAGGGTCGAAAAATTGATGTTGGATTGAATCTCTTGTTTTAAGAAATTGGTTCGATCACTTGGTACGAAACACTTACAATCACTCACACTCTATCTCGATTACAGAGGAAGAGGAGATTAATTTAGGTTCTCTTTTGTTTAAGGTGGGTTCTAGGTGGCGAAAGGATACATCCCCCGATGCTTTGAGTCGAGTTTGCCTCACGTTGATGATCAGACCAAGATTGCTGGAGCTTCTGAACTTTGTTAACCGGCTAGAATCGAGATTCGTACTCCGGATCAACGTGCAGAAACTTTGATCTCTGATGCTTCTCTAAGTCCAAGTTTGAAAATCTCCAATTAATTGATAATCAACCAACCTTAATAGCTACTCTATACTATTTATAGGAGTTTGAGCACGTAACCGACGTACTACAATCGTAGAGTCGTGGGTGTAACTGATGCGCTGAAATTATTGGAGTCGTGGCATAACTGATTCCTTGAATCTAGCCCATGTGACTGATTGGGTCTTCGTGGCCGTTACAGCCTGATTTAATGTGGGTGACGAACCTCACTGCGTTGGCGAACCTCATCCTTAATGTCGAGCCTCGTTGCGTGGCAAACCTCGTTTTTCAGAAATCTGTGTTCAAACATTTATTTCTCTCAACTGGGAAATGATTTTTCAGAAATTTTTCTCTAACATGTCATTATACATGTCTAGAACCTTGGCACAAAATTTTATAATTTTTGGAGCTGTTTTACTATTTTTAACTGATTTTATAAAACTGGATATACCTGCTACAGTGCCCGCGGTCGGCCGCGCTACAGTGCGGTCGAGTCGTCGACCGATGAACTGTCTGGAAATTTCTTTCGTTTCTTACCTTGCTCGCGGTCGACCGCGATTTTCTTCGGTCGACCGCCGTAGTTCCAACGGCTATTTTTAGAGCCGTTGCAGAGTGTTTTTTTGATTTTTTTTTTTTTTTGCTTTCTCTTGGCTTTGGGGTTTCTATAAATACTCCCCTTACCTCAGTTCTAACTAAGAAATCTAAAAGAATGGTTTAAAATATTTTAACAAGGGTGTAAACTTGTTTAGTGTTTACTTGAGTTTGTTTTAAGAAGCTTTTAAGCATTTGAGTGTTTCAGTTTTGTGAATCAATTCCACAAGAGCTTGAGGAGATTATCTATTAAAGTTTGAGCTTTCAACTATCCTCCCTCCATCTCTTGTTATCAATTGAGAAGTTTTCTAAACTCAAACTCTAGCTTTACATTTATATACTTGTTTGATTATCATTGTTCTTAAGCTAGATTTTATATTTGAGTTTAGTTGATTTGATTTTATCTCATTGTTACACACACCCACTTGATCTTATTGTATTTGTATACATAGTATATTAGGGTTATGAGAAATTGTAACATTGAGTTATGCTTAATTGAGTTCTCCCATTGTATGAGAGAACAA